GGACTAATGCCAGCTGAAGTAGCTGACATCCAGCACTACCAGGTACTATACATACTCTGGGGGTTTTTCCTAAAAGGAAATTACAGCCTAACTATAGTGTGGTAAACCACAACTGTACCTTACTCTACAGGCTAATGCATATGAACACCTTTGAATCTCATCAGTCCCTTCTAACCACTGAATAGTGTGTGCTAAGGAACCTTGCTCTCCCTGTAGGCCAGTGCAGAGCAGAAGGCGTACCACCTGCTGCGACAGTGGAGGGAGAGGAAACAGGGAACGCTGTATGCCCTCAAGACCATCCTCTCCCAGGCTGGGATCTCTCTCCAGGAACCATCTACCACCAGCCCTTGTCCTTCTCCTACCCCTACTCTCTCTTCCTCCTCCTCCCAGCTACCTAGTAATGCCGCCAAAACCTTTTTATATGGCCACCTCAATTTTTAAACACTGCTACATTAACGAAAAGCTATAGGCACCATGAGAATTTGTTATAATACGGAATGCAAAACAGAAAAGCTACTGAAGAGAGATATAAAAATGGTGTCTTAACTGTGCACACAGTATTAGCGTCACCCGCAGACCTCTCTCGCGGCCAGTGCATGCGCGAGTGTGCGCGGTCCCGGCTCCACCGCATGTGTCTGCGCATGCGCTGACCGGAGAGAGGGTCTGTGGGCTAATAAACCAGTGTAGTTGGCTTGTTTGCCTTGCCTTGCCTTTCTACCTCGCTACCAAGTTGTTGAGACATGAACCCTCTACCGTGGTCTATTTTCCCATGCACTCATCTGCATGTAGATTTGTTCACTGCTGCCCTCTCTTCTGTCTGTATGTAGGTCTGTCAATTTCCTCTCATCCTCAAAATGTCATTGTCGTCTACGGCCAGGAGGCCAAACTGGAAGTGAGGACGGAGGGACTCACTCAGACCTGCTCCTACCAGTGGTACAAGGACGGCCGAAAACTTATCGCAAAGACCGGGAAATCAATGTTGATAGCATCGACAGTGGACAGCGACGAAGGGAGCTACAGCTGCCAGATAACGAACCCCGAGGGATCCATCATGTCCCACCCTGCCACTATCACCGTGGTCTCCGTGGCACCTCAGTCCTCGTCGCATCAGCCACGTGGCAGACGAGCAGTCGAGCGGAGGAGTCACCCCACGTATCTTCCCCTGCCACCAGGGAATATCAATAGAGGAGAAGGTGCTGTGTATGGTCTCACAGGACGAGGAGTCGATGATGATGACGATAATGATCAATACATATCTGAGCCTTACAGAACAGCCGTTCCTTCTATTACATCATCAACTATGCCTCAGAAAGGTAGGCATAGTGCTGTCGCCGAATCCTATCAGAATACAGGCAATGCACATGTGATTTAAATATTTATGAATAGTTTTGGGTAAAGGTATTGGCAACCACAAGACTCCGTTTTCACTGAAAAAAGACAGGCTCTATAACACATAAGCATTCGATACGAAACACAACTACTCTGCAGTTAAAATTTCTATCTTTCCCATTCGTAGCTATGACTGGGACCATCACCATAACAGAGCAGCCTCAGTCTCACGTGGTTCCACTGGGATCTCCAGTCACCCTCACCTGCAAGGCCTCTCTCTCTGGCGGAGGCTCGCACGATGACCTAAACTACGTGTGGTATTTGAACGGACTCTCCCTATTGGAGCACGCCTCACCTCAGTACCACATAGCCAGTTGCAGCGAGGAGGACGAGGGCATGTACTCTTGTGAAGTATCAACACTAAATGAGTCGGTCATGTCACAAATGGGCTCTGTCTCTGTTGTTAAGTGATTTATCATACAAAACTACTGTCATTATAATGTTTTATTGTTGTAGTGATCATCATTCACTGTGAAAATTAATGCCGGTTTTATGTATTGTTATCACAACCAAACATTGTATTTTCATAATTATTACATGTCAGTGTTATGATCCTGTACTAAGCAAGCGGACGGCAATACAAGAAAGTCCGCACATACACTTTAAACTGGCAATGTTAGCCATGCTTCATGCGTAAAAACTTTGGCACTAGCTGCTAATAACAGTTCTGTTTGTAGCTCTATTGATCACTTTAGAATTCTACGTGTGCCAAAACTAATATATAGCTATAGTGAGACCTAAGAATGATAGCTAAAAGTCAGAAATTATGCGTAAGGCAAAAGACTGCCATTTGGCCGCCTGTTATACACAGCAGAGGACCTTTTCATCTGGCGGAATGGTTTCACACAAGTTCTTTGAAGTTAGCATAAGTCTCGAAACTGTCCACATAAGCAGCCACCACTTCATGACAAAATGTATAGTGAGCCTGGGGAGGACACAAAATACACACTAAGACTCGCAAGTCGCAACATAACTAGCTAATAGTGAGTGGAGTCACTGTAAAATGATCACGGGAGGTATATATCAGGAAGAAAAGACGTACAGCATCAGTGACAAGGCCTGGTCTCTGGATACGAGCAGACTTGACAGCCTGGAGGAAATCAACCACACCCTCCGTCTTGAGTCTCTCCAACTGGGAGTGGAGACAGATGAACGTCCAGTCCTCCCCATTCCGTCACTGAGTAAGGATTGGGAAAGATGTGGAGAGAGGGGGTAAAGTGCAGTGAGTATTCTGAATGTGGATCGGTTTATACAAGCGTGAGGCTTACTAGATTATCATAGCGATTGAAGTGTGTTTATTGTGCTGTGTTTATGAATTAGAGAAAGTTCTCTGACCCAGGGCTGATCATGGCTAGCAATGTGACGATGGAACTACACCTCACCGCTCACTCTACAGTAATGAGAGAGAAGCAGACCTGCAGATGACGGTGGTGTGTCTGCTGGAGCAGCTCCTCTGAGCCTTACTGAGGAGCTCCACCAGAGACAAGATGGATTTTGGGAGGGGCAGGTGTCCAGGAGGCCAGCTGGTCAGCTGCAGGAGTGTCACCATCCTAGTGACTCCTCCTATTCCCCCCTCTATCTCCAGTCTCCTCTCTGTGATATCTCTATGGACACTCTCCTGTGTAGTGGGGCATTGCAAAGCTCTATATTATTGTGCATGCAATCAGCATTTGAGTGTACTTTAACAAGAAAAACTCCTGAAGATAGGGTGTAAAGGCACATGCAATTTCCTACTCAAGCAACTGATTGCAACTGAATTTTTTTCACCCATACTTACCTTCATCAACCACACCCTGATATTTCCGTAGACTTTCTCTTCCCCAACAGTTGGTGGCCAGAAGCAATGGCTGCTCTCCTGTCAGTGGGTGAGGGGAAACACAAACAAACGAGAAATGCTTGAGATTGCAGTAGCATAGAAAGATGCTTGGATGAACTGGGATGCCTATTATCATGCGTGAAACCATTTGCTGCACATGATTGTGTTTTCACGTCCTCACATTTCCCCACGGCATGGAAAAATATGCTAGGGCGCCCATGGTGCCTACGCCATATGACCAAGAATGAAATATTGTGGAATGAGGTGACAAAAGGAGAGGAAAAAAAGAAGAGGGAATTTAGAACGACCACGGGTGTGACTCCACACATTATGTACCAGTCCCTGCTCCATGGTCTGACAGAGCATGACAATGCATTTGCAGTCGTTTTCCCAGATCATCCTCCACATGTCATTCACTGTCTCCGACAGAGGTCCCTGAGTCGCTATGTAGGCTCTTCTCAGCCTGTAGCCCTGCAAGTCCGGAAAATGAAAGCGACACTTGGTGAGTTGGACACTGGGTCAAAGGCGATTGTGATTCAATGACTATACGTAAAGTATTACAGTATGTAAGACAGATATATATACGTAATATGGGAAAAGAGAAAAAGCACCTGTACTGAATATCGTATAAAGAGCAGAGTTTGTTGTGTGCTAGCTAAAAGCAGCAGCAAAAATATTATTATGCGAGGCATACATCAATAAAGGAGGCATTGATGTAGTCAGAACCAGGTTTGTGTCCACATCTCAGTCTTACACGACCCAACTCATCTAGCAGGGAAAGAGTAGAGGTGGGGTTAGAAGGGCCACTGCATGTAACCACATGTTTTCATACCGGGCAGTCGACGTGTGCAAATTGTTTAGATTGTGGTTTGTGTATCAGTATTAGGTTTAGGTTTCGAAACCGATGTTTTTGGCTGACAGTTTGCAAACACTATAGTTACCTATTATTGTGTTTATCTAGGCAATGCAAACACTATATATAGTTGTGTACATTGTGTTTCTTCTCCTAAAGCCAACAAGGCTAACCATAAAGCAACAAATCCTGTGTTGAAAGCGGTCGTACAAAGCAGTCCTTTCAAAGTGGGGGTTGTTTATTCAAGATGATGTTGCGTTATATAATCTTCACTCTGTTTCTTGCAATGACTCTCTTCCTTTCTACTCTCTTTCTGCTTTTACTTTCACTCATTTATTTACTCTCCCTCCTCCTCTTTTCCTCACTTACTGGGAATTTTATCAGGAAACCTGTTCTTGTGTGAGTTGTACTCTGCAAGTCCCTCCTGGTAGCTAGCATGGTACTGGGAGCTCACCTTTTCCAGGGTCTGCACAACACAACATAGAGAGGAGGACACACAGTAGTTTATGTTCTAAAGAAGCGCTTTATAAGAATCAATGGTGACTGGGGATTTCAGTATGGCTTTTATTGAGCCTGCAGACACATGACTGTCAACGTGATAGAATTTCTACCTGTGGCTAGATAGTGCAATAGCTAGCTGACGCAAGGTTATGGATACGTACCTCAAACTGCTTCTGAAAGCCAGTGAGACCAGATCGGTCTCCTGCTAATGGCTTCTGTAGTTTGATCATGTTTATCCTGAAGTTGGCTGCAGCCACTTCCGTTTCTCCACACATCACCAGCTCACTCAATGAGTCGTAGAACAAAACATACTGAGCCTGCATAGTGAATTTCTTAGGCAACAATCCATGTAAGCATTAAAGATCATAGTTCTTAAATTCCTAATATTAGGTGTTGCTAGATCTGAAACATTCCAACGTATTATTATTTTGTGTTGAGTGCATACATTCCACAGGAACTAATGTGTGGCTGCATGTCCACTATATATAACTCATACTAACCAGTGTCTGGACCATCTTCATCCTCTGGTTCCTCATACTCTGAAGGTGGTGGAAGACGCTCATTGTTCTCTCGCTCCTCATCTGCTGGAGGGCCCAGGTCCAGGAGGATAAAGGTTCCGGTCCTCCACAATCCCGGCACTGCAGTGGACCAGGAGGGGTGTGGTGTAGAGAGAGGCCGGGTGCTCCTTGCGGACACGGCGGAGGAGGAAGGAGATGAGAGTGACATAGTGGTGTGGGGTACTCCGTGTCAGGCCAGGCTGTGAGAGAACATGTGGGTAACTTTAGCACTCGCTCAGCTGGCTCTGATGTCTATAAATGAGAGGAACCACGTGGATCAAACATGTGAATAATTATTTTCACTCAATTGTGACTATGCGACTACAACAAAAGTTTAGCTTTTATTTGAGCAAGGCACTCACTGAATTGAGCTGTATTTTCCTGATCTGATATTCTGCATAAGGAAGGAATGAAGTAACAGTGACGCCAAACTTTGATCCTATGGCCTCAGTGGTGTTTGTTTGCCCTGGCCAGTACTGCTGACACTTTACCTGCAAAAGAGATCTATATCGCTAACGAAATCTTGTGTCCATGTGTTGTATACCGAACTGTTGTGTCTGTCTTATAGTTTTGGGTAAGATATAGCAACAAAATTCAACATTCTACTACAGTCTTGTACATTATTGTAGCTAATATGCTTGTGCCAAAAGTAGTGGTGGATGAAACAAAAAAGTTATAGGAAACAAACTGACCCTGGCGCTCTCGACACAGTGAGTAAGCATGACGATAGTGGGGACCTGGTACTCCCATATCATCTCCCAGAACCTTCCCACTGTCAGCTCTGTAGGACCTGATCATGGGACGCGCAGACAATAATAGATATGATGAAAAACAAGTGGTGAAAAACGAAGAACACTGAACAGGGAGATCGAAAGTTGCACCTTGTGAAGCTATGTAGGCCTTTTTCTTGTCAGGATAGCCCTGTGTCAGAAAAAACAGCATGCCTGAGTAAAACGTGGTTTTGGAACTGAAAATGTAGCTACTCACATCAATGAAAGAGGCATTGATATAATCAGAGCCTTCCACGTCTGGCTCTCCCTTGAGTGGAACTCTGTTATAGTCATCTAAAAAGAGAATGATACATAGAAATTAAGAGGCTATAATAAAGGGGTTCGCTCACAGGGGAAAATTTCTTGAACCTGTTATGATCAGCATTGTAGTATAACCGGGCGAACCAACTTGCTGGCTGGGATAACCTTTCAAACGACGTCTGCAACCAACCGGCACATTGACCAGTCACTAAAGCCTTAAGCTCAGTGAGGGAACAACCTTGTACTCCAGGTCCAGGGTGCGGTCTCTGTCCGCGTGCATAGTCTCACATAGTTAGGAACTCTGCTGCGGTGTATACTGTACGCGCTCAGTATTCGACTGTCACGCCCTGGCAATATCACAGTGTGTGTGAAGATCTAGTGATAGTTGTATAGGTAGCTGACATATATGGTCTCGCATTACACATGGCGATTGGTCGTTCTGCCTTTTCAAGGCCTATGCTGTCTCGTTCATCTCAATTCTCTCCATGCTCTTCCCCACTCACTTCATAGTCCACTGTTTGAAGGAGTTGGTCGTAGATTGGATATTACTTTATTGACCATCTGTTATACCTGGGGTAAGGAAGGGGTTTGACACTCTTTGGATTGAACAACATTAGTCTTGTTCACAATGACTCGATTCACACTTGCGTTTAAGCAGGCAATGATGGTCCAGCTACTTGAACCACATCTAATAGGCTAATGCTGGAACGCCGTTTCTGGTTATAAAAAGAGTACATAAGATGAAACGCAATACTCAAAGAAGTTTCATAAATAGTGGCTCAGTGACTGGGTGACAAAGCCATTCATAGAGGAACAGTTTTTCCTATAGTGGAGTAACAAGTCCACAAACACGTACAAATACAAGCACCTAACACACGGTTTGTTTGATGTGCTCCCATTGCCAGCTAATCTAAGGTTGGTATCTAACAGTACACCAAAAGGTGTATTATAATACCATCAAGTCCCAATTATTTACGATAGTTTATCCACATCAACAAGGTAGGATCACCTGGAGTAAGAGTTGGCTTGGAAGAGATTCTCCTACTAGAGATGGATGGAGTCGGGTTGGCCTGAGAACATTCCTCACTGCTGAAGGTAGAGGGGGTTGAAGTGGATAGGTGTAGACAGTAGTTTGGGTTGAGATATACGACTAAAAGTAGATCTCTCAGTGAAGGTAGAGGAGTTAGCTATGGGTGATGTTTGTTCCATGAGTCGTCCCTGAAAGGCTGTAGATACATTGATGTCACTGTATTTAAGGATAGAGCTGGTAGATGACAGAGTCCAGCGCATTGAAGAAGAGAAGGTGAGGAAGTGCTGGTCTCTGAAAATTGTTGCATTGTAAGTTTGGGCCAAAAACACAATGTAGCACATACCGTGTCATGAGTCTGACATAAACTGTTTGATTATTTCGTTGTGTGGTCCTGAATCACATCACCTATATGTCGAGCCCTCAAGTGATACCACATTGATCTCTTCATCTCACCACATGACCCTCTGTTTCTCACAAACCCTAGTCACCAGGCCCATTTCCCACCCCTCTTTGGAGCAACCCATCTCCTCCAGAAGTTTCACTGGGAGGATTAGGAGGTGTTCGGTATGACAGACCAGAGCAGTATCATCAGTTGACCCAATATCATCCAGCATCACAGAACAATTGTTAGGAATTACTTTTGTCTAAAGTCAGATGTACACCTGAAAGTATAGGTCAGTGCACATGTTTATTTATATAACAAGGTAAAAGTTACTTTTTTCGACAGTCTTTATAAGAGTGGCACTACTGAACACTCCAGTACCAGCACTGTTGACTGCTGCAACTTGAATTGAGTAGTTAGTAGATAGGGTTGGGTTCGAGATGGTAGCCTCAGTTACACTGGCTCCAGCAATATTCAGTACGCTCATGTCTGTCATGTTGGGGCCCCATCTCTCCATATCACTGAGTAGCCCAGTAATAATATCTCCTTTTATATGTTCACAAGGCACCAAGAACTCCCAATTGATAGTGATGAAGTAGGAAGTCGCAAAAATCTTGGTCACATTTGGAGCTGCAGATGGAGCTGCAGAAATAAACACACACCTTTGGTAATAGCATTATGGAAACGTAATATTTTAGCATTAACCTTTCAATGTTGTCACAGCATATACAGTGTTACTCAGTCCCCCTGTAGTTACAGTAATGTTGTACCTACTGCCCTCCTCTAGTCCTGTTATGACGTAACTTGTATCATTGCTGGTAATAGAGCCATTGTTTGTTCGATTTTCAGCTAAACACCCTATCTTCTGCCATTTAAACGTATAGTTTTTAGTATCTATGGTGTTTGAAACATTCCAAGTAAAGTTAAGAGAGTTGGGAGATTTTCCCATGAGAACTATTATTGGCTGGTCAGGCACTGGGAAGAAACACAAAAGAATCAATAACATATTTTTGTAAAGCTGCATGAGGCCTCACAATCACGGCATGCTGATCCGTTCGATGGTTTGTTGTTAGCCACAGTACATGTGTACCTTCCTTCCATTCTCCCAGTCACATTCAGAGTATGGATATATTCTGCTGTGGTTGCATTGACTAATAGGCTCTCAGTTGTCCCTTGGGTGACCGTGGTGGAGTCTCTGGTCCAAGTGACTCTGGTAGCAGGTCCGCCAGTGGATACACAGGAGAGGCTAAACTGAGGACTGAACTCACCAAAGTCCACATTCAGCATAACACCACCAGATATAGACACATCTCCTGTATAGATGAAAATAACTATGTGTTTTAGTACCACATATAATTTTGGTTAACACAAACCTCCATTGGCATACAATCCAACATAAACCCTACTTCGAGTCAATTGAGTGGTAGTGTTATCATGGAGCTCAACAGTTGCAATGTCACAACGATACACGCCAGATGGTGAAGTGGCACTCCTACGACGTAGATCAACTCTCCGATAGTCACGATGCTGGTCAATATCGTTGGGGTTACCAAAAGGCAGTTGGTTTCCATTAGGGAAGTACCAGTCACCACGATGGATACCCTGCTTATTGTCACAACATGTTGTCAGGTCAGTGTGACACTGAAGACTATCACTTTCAGTTTTCCCAATTAGGCTAAAGTTCACATAAGAGTGGTTGACCAGAGTCTGGCCCATGAAGGAGACATAAGGAGGGGTCCAAGAGTTGACCTCCACCAGGGACCTGAGGAGACTTAGAGAAAAGACCACCACCAACATTATGACTTATTCTATGACTGAGTTTGTGACCTGTGCTGTTTTTTATGAGCTATACCGGGTTGTTTGTTTTATTACCAGATCAACAATGAGGTTATTGGTTAATGGTACACAAGGCAAAAGTAATCACAAGATGTAAAAACATTGAGGTGGGGTTAGAGCTTTGGCTTTGTTTGTATACTATTGTGTATGATGGTTCTCAGGTTGAATTGTGCATGCAGATTCGTGCATATGCTTCACTCATGAGTGACGAGAAGCAGTTCGTACCTCTTTATTTACTTGGCGAATAATCAGGGTGATAGCAACATTATTTTTTTAAATGAAGGGCGACAGTAATAATTATATCCCTACCAATCATCACCATTATTATGAGGAAAATGCATTTACACATTACAATGTAATACTTTGTGTCATCATTTTGTTATTATTATGACTCTTAAAAATCAGCTCAGAAATGATATTGAAGCTGTTGACCAGTAACCACCACAAACAGCATTACACACTCTGTGTCTGAACTTTAGCTCACTATTATCATGTTGTTTTATGTGATGATTACCTATTCGGATAGAAAAAGTACACAAGGCAAAAAGTACATCACCTGACCACACACATTGAGATAGGTGTGGTGGAAGCTTTAGAACTGGGGTTACCTACCTCTGATCGAAGAACAACATGTGTGGAGGACTTGGGTATAAGACGGTATGGTAATTGAATATTTGTAGTATTAGATTGCTATAGGGTTTATTTTGAGTTGATGTATTTATAGCTACCTGCTATTTCTGTAGTCACTATATTTAGTCGAGCCTACATGTCTGCTGATTTCACCCTGTCTCTTCCTTCGCTCACTTTTGATCACCGCTTCACACTTGTGTCACCCACCTTCATAATCCCCTCTGCTTCTAGATCTTTCTTTAATTTTCTTTTGTGTATCATCCCTATACAAGTGGAAAAATCATTTCTTCAAAATGAAGGGGGATATAGGGGTGGCTTGAAGCACCAAAAAGGAAGAAACAAGGGGTCATTACACAGCTAAGATGCACAAAGCTACATGACACCATCCCTATATCTTTGTTCGATATTAAAGTTAACTTTCCTTATGGACAATAAAACAAAGATATAGGGATGGTGTCATGTAGCTTTGTGCATCTTAGCTGTCTAATGACCCCTTGTTTCTTCCTTTTTGGTGCTTCAAGCCATCCCTATATCCCCCTTCATTTTGAAGAAATGATTTTTCCACTTGTTTCCACTATTTTTAACAGCTTATGACAACACTGCATTTTATTGTTACAGTCACTCTGATGTTCATAGGTATGTTGTAGATAGGTTACCAAGGACAAACTCTAATAATTGTTGAAAGCTGTAAGTAGCTAATGGGCTGCTAGTGCCTGAAGCAGGAGCTAGCTAGATACAATATTCACCTCAGGTATTGTCTTCAACAAGGATGTAATTAGGTTATGGCACACGGTTGTGGTTTCAGGCAGGCTTTGGTAATCAGGGCTACAACCTAGGGGGACAAATGAAGGCCCCTTTTTTGCCATGGCAATGCTCGCGTAACACCGCGCTGACTTTGCCAACCGTGTATGTGCACACTGACTTACAGAAGGCACTGGAGGCTAAGGGTTCCTCTGCAGGTCTGTCGGTAACAATACGCGCGCACAGCTAGCGCATTCGACAACGCCTCCGTGCACGCGGCTTACTGATGCTGAGTTGGCAGAAAATAGCGTTGTTCAGTGTCGACCATGGAAGAGCTCCAAGATCTACCATAGTGACTTACGGCAAGAAAGAAACGATCGCTTGATGTCCGTGCACACCTCCGGCGAAATTGGAGACGTTCAGTGAAAAAATCAGCGCTTCAACTGGTTCTGGTAAGGAGATAGCGGGATTGAAGAAGAAGAATATAATATGATGACGAAAATCGTGAAGTCGCGTATGAGCGAAGTCTCGCGTGGAGAACTGAATGTGCGTATGAGGTATTTGGGAACATGTATAGGTAGATATGGGCCAGTAAACTATTGCTAGCGTGTTTTAAAGGCATAGGGATCCAGGAGTCATCCTCAACGAGTTTTAGGCGTTTTGTACGCGGATCACGTGAGATTTCACTCGTGCCATCCCTATACAAGTGGAAAAAATCATTTCTTCAAAATGAAAGGGAGATATAGGGATGGTTTGAAGCACCAAAAAGGAAGAAACAAGGGGTTATTACACAGCAAAGATGCACAAAGCTACATGACACCATCCCTATATCTTTGTCTGATATTAAACTTTACTTCAAGGTAAACTGTTGCAGAGTGGAAATGACGGAGACGGCAAGCGCGGCTCTTTCCCAATTAGGGAGGAAAATGTCAGCAGGGCGAGATTGGTTGTGAACAATAACACAAAGATATAGGGATGGTGTCATGTAGCTTTGTGCATCTTTGCTGTGTAATAACCCCTTGTTTCTTCCTTTTTGGTGCTTCAAACCATCCCTATATCTCCCTTTCATTTTGAAGAAATGATTTTTCCACTTGTATAGGGATGGCACGAGTGAAATCTCACGTGATCCGCGTACAAAACGCCTAAAACTCGTTGAGGATGACTCCTGGATCCCTATGCCTTTAAAACACGCTAGCAATAGTTTACTGGCCCATATCTACCTATACATGTTCCCAAATACCTCATACGCACATTCAGTTCTCCACGCGAGACTTCGCTCATACGCGACTTCACGATTTTCGTCATCATATTATATTCTTCTTCTTCAATCCCGCTATCTCCTTACCAGAACCAGTTGAAGCGCTGATTTTTTCACTGAACGTCTCCAATTTCGCCGGAGGTGTGCACGGACATCAAGCGATCGTTTCTTTCTTGCCGTAAGTCACTATGGTAGATCATGGAGCTCTTCCATGGTCGACACTGAACAACGCTATTTTCTGCCAACTCAGCATCAGTAAGCCGCGTGCACGGAGGCGTTGTCGAATGCGCTAGCTGTGCGCGCGTATTGTTACCGACAGACCTGCAGAGGAACCCTTAGCCTCCAGTGCCTTCTGTAAGTCAGTGTGCACATACACGGTTGGCAAAGTCAGCGCGGTGTTACGCGAGCATTGCCATGGCAAAAAAGGGGCCTTCATTTGTCCCCCCTAGGTTGTAGCCCTGATTACCAAAGCCTGCCTGAAACCACAACCGTGTGCCATAACCTAATTACATCCTTGTTGAAGACAATACCTGAGGTGAATATTGTATCTAGCTAGCTCCTGCTTCAGGCACTAGCAGCCCATTAGCTACTTACAGCTTTCAACAATTATTAGAGTTTGTCCTTGGTAACCTATCTACAACATACCTATGAACATCAGAGTGACTGTAACAATAAAATGCAGTGTTGTCATAAGCTGTTAAAAATAGTGGAAACAAGTGGAAAAATCATTTCTTCAAAATGAAGGGGGATATAGGGATGGCTTGAAGCACCAAAAAGGAAGAAACAAGGGGTCATTAGACAGCTAAGATGCACAAAGCTACATGACACCATCCCTATATCTTTGTTCGATATTAAAGTTAACTTTCCTTATGGACAATAAAACAAAGATATAGGGATGGTGTCATGTAGCTTTGTGCATCTTAGCTGTCTAATGACCCCTTGTTTCTTCCTTTTTGGTGCTTCAAGCCATCCCTATATCCCCCTTCATTTTGAAGAAATGATTTTTCCACTTGTTTCCACTATTTTTAACAGCTTATGACAACACTGCATTTTATTGTTACAGTCACTCTGATGTTCATAGGTATGTTGTAGATAGGTTACCAAGGACAAACTCTAATAATTGTTGAAAGCTGTAAGTAGCTAATGGGCTGCTAGTGCCTGAAGCAGGAGCTAGCTAGATACAATATTCACCTCAGGTATTGTCTTCAACAAGGATGTAATTAGGTTATGGCACACGGTTGTGGTTTCAGGCAGGCTTTGGTAATCAGGGCTACAACCTAGGGGGGACAAATGAAGGCCCCTTTTTTGCCATGGCAATGCTCGCGTAACACCGCGCTGACTTTGCCAACCGTGTATGTGCACACTGACTTACAGAAGGCACTGGAGGCTAAGGGTTCCTCTGCAGGTCTGTCGGTAACAATACGCGCGCACAGCTAGCGCATTCGACAACGCCTCCGTGCACGCGGCTTACTGATGCTGAGTTGGCAGAAAATAGCGTTGTTCAGTGTCGACCATGGAAGAGCTCCAAGATCTACCATAGTGACTTACGGCAAGAAAGAAACGATCGCTTGATGTCCGTGCACACCTCCGGCGAAATTGGAGACGTTCAGTGAAAAAATCAGCGCTTCAACTGGTTCTGGTAAGGAGATAGCGGGATTGAAGAAGAAGAATATAATATGATGACGAAAATCGTGAAGTCGCGTATGAGCGAAGTCTCGCGTGGAGAACTGAATGTGCGTATGAGGTATTTGGGAACATGTATAGGTAGATATGGGCCAGTAAACTATTGCTAGCGTGTTTTAAAGGCATAGGGATCCAGGAGTCATCCTCAACGAGTTTTAGGCGTTTTGTACGCGGATCACGTGAGATTTCACTCGTGCCATCCCTATACAAGTGGAAAAATCATTTCTTCAAAATGAAAGGGAGAT